TTCCATGCTCTGTTCTTAGGAAGGAAGTTACTGAATGCAGCCCATACTCAGGGGACAGGAGAAGTTAAGCTTCATCTCCTCGGAAGGAGATTAGGTAGTTGGCTAGATAAGCTATTTGGAATTCTGTAAGGAAGTTTGTTTCTTCTCCTCCATTTATTTATGTAGTCTTTTATTTATGTGAGTATGGGTTATGGCTATTAATTTTATCTTTGGTTTATAATCCAATACTATGTCACTTATTTCGTTACTCAGATTGTTCTTGCTTAGGGCATTGGGGAGCTCTTCCAGGTTGGGTCCTGTATTCTTTTTTTTTTTTTTTGAGACAGAATCTCACTTTGTCACCCAGGCTGGAGTTCAGTAGTGCATTCTCAGCTCACTGCAACCTCCGTCCCCTGGGTTCAAGTGATTCTCCTGCCTCAGGCCTCCACCAGTAGCTGGGATTACAGGCAGGCGCCACCATGCCCAGCTAATTTTTTTGAATTTTTAGCAGAGATGGGGTCTCACCGTGTTGGCCAGGCTGGTGTCGAACTCCTGACCTCAAGTGATCTGCCCGCCTTAGCCTCCCAAAGTGCTAAAATTACAGGCATGAGCCACTGCGCCCAGGCATGTATTACTTTTTATTTATTTATTTTTTTGAGTACTGCCTTACTGTGTAGTACTAGAAGAGATTCCCGCCTCATCTGGTCTTTTTCCTGCACTCATGCTAGAATCAGTCATGTCTCCAGGAAGCTCTACGTCTTTTTAATATTGGGGAATGTTGTTTAATTTTCACATTTTTTGAATTTCCCAAATTTCCTTTTCCATCTGTTATATAATTTCATTCCACTATGGTTGAAGAACATGCTTTATATGATTTTAATCCTTTACATTTGTTGAGACTTCTCTTATGGGCTAGCAAATGGTCTGCTCTAGAGAATGTTTCATGGGCTCTTGAGAAGAATGTGTTGTGTGCTGTTGTTGCAGAGTGTTCTCTAGGTGTCTGTTGGGTCTAGTTGGCTTCTAGCGTTACTCAAGTCTTCTGTTTCCTTGATGATCTTCTGTCTAGCTGTTTTATCAATTGTTGAAAGTAGGTATTGAAATCTCCAACTTCGGTTTTCCATACCTGTGGGTCCTGCATCTGTGGATTCAACCAACCGTGGATCAAAAATATTAAAAGAAGAAAGCAAAGAAAAAGAAAAGAAAAGAAACTAAAAATATCAAAAGGGAGGCTGGGCATGGTGGCTTATACCTGTAATTCCAGCACTTTGGGAGGCCAAGGCTGGAAGATCACCTGAGGTCAGGAGTTCGAGACCAGTCTGGCCAACATGGTGAAACCTCATCTCTACTAAAAATACAAAAATTAGCCAGGCGTGGTGGTAGGCACCTGTATTCCCAGCTACTCAGAAGTCTGAGGCATGAGAATCCCTTGAGCCTGGAAGGTGGAGGTTGCAGTGAGTAGAGATTGTGCCTTTGCATTTCAGCCTGGGAGACGGAGTGAGACTCTGTCTCAAAAACGAAAAACTAAAACTAAAATATTAAAAGGTGTCAGGCACAGTGGCTCATGCCTGTAATCTTAGCACTTTAGGAGGCTGAGGGGTCAGATTGTTTGAGGCCCAGGAGCCTCACATAGTGAAACCCCATCTCTATTAAAAAATGAAAAAAATTAAAATTAAAAAAAATTTAAAGAAGGAAAGAAAGAAATTACAACAATAAAAATACAAATAAGAAATATATTGCTAGAAGTATTGACATAACATTTACATAGTATTAGGTATTATAAGAATCTAGAAATGATTTAAGTATATGGGAGGATGTGAATAGACTATATGCAAATACACATCGTTTTATATAATGGGCTTGATTATCTTTGGATTTTGATATCCACAGGAGCTCCTGGAACCAGTGCCTTGTGGATACCAAGGGATGACTGTATTGTTGTAGAATTGCCTATTTCTACCTTTAATTCTATCATTTTTTGCATCATGTATTTTGGGGCTCTGTTGTTAGGTGTGTATATAATTGTGATATCTTCCCGATGGATTGTTTCATTTATTGTTCTAAAATGCCATTTGTTTCTAGTAACAACTTTTGTCTCAAAGTCTATTTTGTCTGATATTAGGATAGCTGCTCCAGCTTTCTTTTGGTTACTTTTTTCGTGGCATATCTTTTTTTCACTCTTTTATTTTTACCTATTTGTGTCTTTGAATCTAAAGTTTGTCTCTTGTAGAGAGCATTTAGTTTTTTTGTTTGTTTGTTTGTTTTGAGATGGAGTCTTGACCTGTCACTGAGGCTGGAGTGCAGTGTTGCAATCTTGGCTCACTGCCACCTCCACCTCCTGAATTCAAGTGATTTTCCTGCCTCAGCCTCCTGAGTAACTGGGCTTATAGGCACACTACCACACTTTTGTATTTTTAGTAGAGACAGAATTTCACCATGTTGGCCAGGCTGGTCTCGAACTCTTGGCCTCAAGCAATCCACCCACCTTGGCATCCCAAAGTGTTGGGATTACAGGCGTGAGCAACCGCATTTGTCCTAAACATTTATATTTCAAAGAACTAACCTGACATTTATTAATGAGGAGCCTACTTTTGAGGTGGAAGTCATAAACAAGAGTGAAGTGGGTTCTTTTTTTCTTTCTTTTTATTTTTTTGAGACAGAGTCTCACTCTCTTGTCCAGGCTGGAGTGCAGTGGCATGATCTCGGCTCACTGCAACCTCTGCCTCTGAGGTTCAAGTGATTCTCCTGCCTCAGCCTCCTGAGTAGCTGGAAGTATAGGCACGTGCCACCACACCTGGCTAATTTTTTTGTATTTTTGGTAGAGATGGTGTTTCATAAGTTGGCCAGGCTGGTCTTGAACTCCTGACCTCAAGTGATCCACCTGCCTCGGCCTCCCAAAGTACTGGGATTACAGGCGTGAGCCACTGCGCCAGGCAGTGAAGTGGATTCTTTTTTGCTAACAGCTGCAGAATGACAAGCATCTGCAGTGACAGGAAAATTGTAGACAAACTAAGAGTATTACAGAGGGACAAATATGCTTCACTCTCCCCAGGCACATCCATGGGCAGGTTTAATGACTAAACTATTTGGACAAGGGAGCTTTATGACTTTCCTACATTGTTTACATGGTAAATGGAACCAAGGTTAAAATTCAAGAGAATGGACACACACACATACACGCGCGCGCACACACGCGCGCACACACACACGCACACACACACACACACACGCACACACACACCATGCAGGCTGGGTGCAGTGGGGCACGCCTATAATGCCAGCACTTTGGGAGGCCTAGGTGGGAGGATTACTTAAGTCAGGAGTTTAAGAACAGCCTAGCCAACATGGCAAAAACCCACCTCTACAAAAATTACCAAAAAAATTAGCTGGGTGTGGTGGCACGTGCCTGTAATACCAGCTACTCGGGAGGCTGAGGCATGAGAATCGCTTGAACCCAGGAGGTGGAGGTTGCAGTGAGTGGAGATTGTGCCACTGCAATCCAGCCTGGTGACAGAGCAAGTCTCTGTCTCAAAAAAAAAAAAAAAAAAAAAAAAAGGCCAGGTGCAGTGGCTTACGCCTATTACCCCAGCACTTTGGGAGGCTGAGGCAGGTGGATCACAAGGTCAGGAGTTCAAGACCAGCCTGGCCAAAAGGGTGAAACCCCATCTCTACTAAAAATACAAAAATTAGCCAGGCGTGGTGGTGGGAGCGTGTAATCCCAGCTATTGAGGAGGCTGAGGCAGGGAATTGCTTGAACCCGGGAGTTGGAGGTTGCTGTGAGCCGAGATCACACCACTGAACACTCTAGCTTCAGCAACAGAGTGAGACTTTGTCTCAAACAAAACAAAACAAAACAACAACAAAATAAGAAACACAAATGAATACAAGATGTTTTAAAATCTATTAGATTAGCAGTGGTCAGACACTCTCATATACTGTCAAATTGGTATACTTTTTCTGCAGATAATTAACTGTTTAAGTTAAAACATCTGTACACTTTGACTCAGCGATTTCACTTTTAGGAATGTATATAAAAGAATCAGGAACACAGACCAAAATTTACATTCAAGAGGTTTGATCACTGCATTATCTTTACAAATGAAAAATTAGAAACAACTTAAATATTCACCCAAAAGGATGTGGTTAAACAACTTATAGCATATCCACAAACATATTATAAATCTATTAAAATGATGTCTTTGAAGCATTTGGTGTCGTTGGAAAATACTCATGCTATACAGTATTTTCCAATTAGCATAACTGAAATGGCCCTTCAGCTATGCTATTTTATATAAGGAATTTGAGCATCTGTGGACTGTGATATCCTTAGGGGGTCCTGGAATCTATCCGCTGAGAATGCAGAGGGCCAATTTAGTGTTAAGAGGGTAAAAGTTCTGATAAAAACTGTATATGCAGAATATTAATAATGTTATTGCTAATTTGTGCACTTATGGGTCTTTTTTATTTTCCAAGTTTTTTATAATGAGCATATTTTTTAATTAGAAAATAATACATTCTTTTAAAAAAGGAGGTAATAATTTTCATTGGGAGATTGTAAGCAACATACGTGCCTCTTGGATGTTTCATGCACTTCATTAAAAGCAGAGCCTAAGCTAGCTCTGGCAACTCTAAGAAAGAATATGATTATGCTGCTAAGTTCTATGTATAACATGTATAACATTGTAAGTTCTATGTATAATATGTATGACATTGACTTTTCAATACAAAATGTGGAAAAAAAATCAAGTTAGCCAGTATTTTAAAATGAATTTCATTTTAGAGGTTTTAAAAAGGTAGGAGATCGGCCAGGCACAGTGGCCCACACCTGTAATCCCAGCACTTCTGGAGGTCGAGGAGAGTGGATCACCTGAGGTCAGGAGTTCAAGACCAGCCTGGCCTACATGGTGAAACCCTAACTCTACTGAAAATACAGAAATTAGCCAGGTGTGGTGGCAGGTGTCTGTAATCTCAGCTATTCGAGAGGCTGAGGCAGGAGAACTGCTTGAGCGGGGAGGCAGAGGTTACAGTGAGCTGAGATCACTCCAGCCTGGGCTAAAGAGCAAGACTGCATCTCATAAAAAGAAAAAAAAAAAGGTAGGGGATTATATATCTTTAAATGTCGTACGTTTGAATAGTTGCTTAACTTTGTATCTGGGAACTGTTATTGCATCTGTACACCAAGTAAAACATTAACTTTTTGATTTTTTTTCCAAGAAGAAGACGTAAAGCAATTTTGAGAGCTGTACCAGCAATTTTGAGAGCTTGCAAAAACAGCTTGCAAGGACAATGAAGCTTCCGATTTTCATAGCAGATGCATTCACAGCAAGAGCATTTCGTGGGAATCCTGCTGCTGTGTGCCTCCTAGAAAATGTAAGTGCTTGGATTTGAATTACACTGCCAGAAATTCTAGATTTCTGTAGAAACAATTAATTATTTTAAAAGACTAGTTTTCACCTGTTGGTTCATCTCTTTGGTTTGTGTTCTTTGCCATCATTTCAGTGATGTTCACGTAAGCAAGTTGGTTTTGACCAAAGTATTTGATAAAAACTCGTATGCCTTGGGTACGACTAATGAAGATTCAGATAAAGAGGAACTAGAGCCAATTTTTAAAAAGAAGAGCTAGGGCTCCCTTTCAGCCGTCAGGTTTTCATTTAGTTAGCACCAGGTGTTGAGGAGAATGAAATTAGATGAGCTTTGTGTGACTAGACATAGCCAGTTTCACATTTAACATAACAGATGCTAGCTGAGTATCTTGAATTTACCTATAGCTTAGGCAATTAGAAATTCTTTTTAGGACCAAGAAAATGAGATATTTTGCAAGGAATTAAGTAGTTAAGTAGAGAGGTAGAAGGAGTTAAGCTATAATATATAAATAACTTACTGAAAGACTCATTTTAAAAGTGTCTTTTTGATTAGGATAAATATTAATGGAATAGTTAAATATTCTTTGACCTTGAGGGTTAACAGTTAAATATTCCTTGACCTTGAGGGTTAATAGTTAAATAATATTCCTTGACCTCAAGGAAAAGTTAGGAGGTCAAGGAATATTGAAAAGAAAATTCCTTGAGGTCAAGGAATATTGACCTTGTTTTTGTCCCTAAGTAGTAAGAAACAAGGTAGGGTGTCCTTTCACTCAGAGCAGTTAGTACAAGAGTAGATTATCTGAGAATTACTTCAAGAAGACAGTTAGCAATTGATCTTAAGGAAGTCATATTAAGTTGGGAAAAGTGTGCTGGGGCCTTCGAGGACAGTGAATCTTAACCTGGCTACACATAAAAATCACCTAAGGAGCTTTGAAAATGCTGCCTTCCAGACCAATTACAACAGACTCTGGGAGTGGAACCCAGGTAGCAGTGGGGTGTGTGTGTGTGTGTGTGTGTGTGTGTGTGTGTGTGAAATGGAGTTTCGCTCTTATTGCCTAGGCCGCAGTGCAATGGCGCGATCTGGGCTCACTGCAACCTCCGCCTCCTGGGCTCAAGTGATTCTCCTGCCTCAGCCTCCTGAGTAGCTGAGATTACAGTTCCCTGACACCATGCACAGCTAATTTTTTTTTGAGATGGTGTTTTGCTCTTGTTGCCCAGGCTGGTGTGCAATGGCATGATATCGGCCCACCACAAATTCCGCCTTCCAAGTTCAAGTGATTTTCCTGCCTCAGCCTCCTGAGTAGCTGGGATTACAGGCATGCACCACCATGCCCAGTTAATTTTGTATTTTTAGTCGAGATGGGGTTTCCTCCATGTTAGTGAGGCTGATCTGGAACTCCTAACCTCAGGTGATACTCCTGCTTTGGCCTGCCAAAGTGTTAGGTTTAGAGGCGATAGCCACTGCACCCGGCCATAACACGGCCAATATTTTTTTTTTGTATATATATATCTCTCTCTATATGTATTTTTTTCTGAGACAGAGTCTTGCCGTGTCGCCCGGGCTGGAGTGCAGTGACGCAATCTTGGCTCACTGCAACCTCTGCCTTCCAGGTTCAAGTGATTCTCCGGCCTCAGCCTCCTGAACAGCTGTGATTACAGACACGCACCATCACACCCAGCTAATTTTTGTATTTTTAGTAGAGACAGGGTTTCACCATGTTGACCAGGATGGTCTCAAACTCCTGACCTTGTGACCCACCTGCCTTGGCCTGCTAAAGTACTGGGATTACAGGCGTGAGCCATCGCACCTGGCCACTTTTTTTTTTTTATAGAGACAGGGTCTCACTATGTTGGCCAGGCTGGTCTCGAATTCCTGACCTCAGGTGATCCACCTGCCTCGGCCTCCCAAAGTGCTGGATTACAGGCATGAGCCACTGCACCCAGCCTACAGTGTTTTTTAAAGTTCCCCAAGTGACTCCAGTGGGTGGGAGAACTGGGCTGGGGGCAGTGGCTCATGCCTATAATCCTAGTACTTTGGGAGGCTGAGGCAGGAGGATTGCTTGGGGCCAGGAGTTTGAGACCAATCTGGCCAACATAGCGAAATCCTGTCTCTAAAAAAGGAGGACTGCTGAGGTGAACATAGGTTTTTAGTTGTTTTGTTTTGTTTTTTTAATTTTTAAATTTTTTTTTATAAAATAGACCTGGGGTCTTGCTATGTTGACCAGGCTGGTCTCAAACTCCTGGATTCAAGTGATGTTTCCACCTTGGCCTTCCGAAGTGCTGGGATTTTAGGCATAAGCCACCACACTTGGTGGAATATTATTAATTGAGTCCCATTTCCACAGTTCTTTTCTCCCTCAAGTGGAGCAGTAAGGTGGCCATCAAGAGTCCTTGTCTTATCTTAACTCTACATTCATTATGCAAACTTGTGCTGGCATTTTCTCTCCACAAAATGCCGAAGGTAATAAAGTTAATAACCTTTGTCCATTATGACAAGAGCTTGGGAAGATTAGTATGAAAATAACCAGATTCCAAATCATGACCTTTCTTTAGAAACAATCTGGCAAATACAACTCCCTGTCAAGGAATTGTGGAATTGACTATAACTGCTTGTCAAAAGTATTACTACATTTGCCTCATGGCCCCATGTAATATCCTTGAAGAGTTTTGACAATAGTTTATATTGAATAGAATATAGTCCATTTTTATCAGATAACAAACATTGGCATTATTCTCCAACTTACTCCTTTGATTTCCAGTAAATTAAACATCAGACTTATAGGATTGCTATCTCCTTCTTTTTCCTCTCTCTTTCTACCTATCTCTTCATTAAAACATATTTTGTATGCTAATCATATGTTTGGAAAAACTAGGAAATAAAAATTTAAGCAAAAAACTTATAGTTTAAAACAACATGCTTCAGTATGAGTGGAAGAAGGAAAAAGAAGATCAGGAAGTCCATGATTTGGGCAAGCTCTCTTTTTCTTTATTTTTTTGAGACAGGGTTTCACTATATTAGTCAGGCTGGTCTCGAACTCTTGACCTCAAGTGATCCACCCACCTCAGCCTCCCAAAGTGCTGGGATTACAGGCGTGAGCCACCGCGCCCCGGCCATTTGGGGAAGCTCTCTAAAGAGTTTTCCGATTCGGCCGGCTGTGGTGGCTCACGCCTGTAATCCCAGCACTTTGGGAGGCTGAGGTGGGCAGATCACGAGGTCAGGAGTTTGAGACCAGCCTGGCCAACATGGTGAAACCCTCGTCTCTAATAACAATACAAAAATTAGCTGGGCATGGTGGCACGTGCCTGTAATCCCAGCTACTTGGGAGGCTGAGGCAGGAGAATCACTTAAACCTGAGAGGTGGAGGTTGCAGTGAGCTGAGATTGCACCACTGCACTCCAGCCTGGGAGACAGAGCAAGACTTCGTTTTAAAAAAAAAGTTTTCCAATTCACTTTCTTTTGAGGCTTGGGCCTATGAGACCAGGATAATTTCATGGCCTTTCAGGGACACCTGAATATGTATCTAAAGATTAGTTTGTTAAGCCTCTTAGTCACACTTTTCTGTTCTTTGGATGTGAGAATCTTGACCTCCTGGAGACAAAGGTAGCACTTTTCCTTAATCAATAACAATTATAATAGAAGTATAAATGATGGTGTCTGCTCTCGGGTTTGTTGTGTCCTGAGATGGTAGAGAGAATACAAGTGGCCATGGGAAAATGTCAGAGACAAATAAACTCTAAACCTTATCATATTGGCCACAATTCGGTAGGAATTCAGCCAGACTCTGGGCTGAATCAGAGGTGCAAAGGTTAACAAGTTCGCCAGCCCTTCAGGTGCTCAGAGTCTAGTGGGGAAGATGGACCTGTAAACTGACCATTATTCAGTAGTTACCACAGAGGCTAAAAAACCTGAAGGTTCTAGGTACGACGGAGACTCAGAGGATGGAATAATGTTAGATTTTATAAGGTAAAAATACTTCAGATTTTAAGTATAGGGCTTCAGAGGAATTTTTTTTGTAGATTTGTTTTAAATTATTTAAAATTTGACCAAGATGCAACTAAGCATAGGAAAACTTCGTGGACAGACTGAAGACTAGGTCACGGTGCTTTGAGGTTTTTGAACACTTGATAAAAGATGACTGAAAGTAAAGTAAAAACTTCTGAGGAATAAAGTTCAAGAGCTTCTATAATATTCTAAAGGGCTTTTTGTTTGTTTTCAAGACAAGTTCACTTTTAATTTCTTTTTATTTTTTGACACAAGCAATCTTCCCACTTCGGCTTCCCAAAGTGCTAGGATTACCGGTGTGAGCCACCATGCCCAACTGACAAACTCATTTTTAAATTTTTTACATGAAAAACATATAACACTTTAGGTGAAAGCAAAAAACAGATTAAGGTCTAAAAGGAACATACAGCAGATATTTGAAAAAAATTAATAGAAATTGTCCGAGTGCAATGGCTCACACCTGTAATCGCAGTACTTTGAGAGGCTGAGGCAGGAAGATCACCTGAGGTCAGGAGTTTGAGATCAGCCTGGCCAACATGGTGAAACCCCGTCTCCACTAAAAATACAAAAACTAGTCAGGCATGATGGCATACACCTGTAATCCCAGCTACGCAGGAGACTGAGGCAGGAGAGTCAATTGAACCCAGGAGCTTACAGTGAACTGAGAAAACACTGCTGCACTCCAGCCTGGGCGACAGAGCGAGACTCTGTCTAAAAAAAAAAAAAAAAAAAGAAAGAAAAATGAAAAAAAAAAAATTGATGGTGTCCTCAGATGCCTGACAATCTGTTTGACAATAAAGACCTTGTAGAAACATGGAAAATGTATAGAAGCAATGTAAAAAGTAAAACAGATATGATGACAGCTGGGTAAAAACTACAAGGACCCATGAGCAACTACTGGCCATGGGTAGTGTCCTGTCTCTGAAAAAATAAAATCAAAATCAAAATAAAAAAAGCACCAGTGGTGCTAGAAGAGGCAGGTTTTAGAACCTTCTCCATCCAGG